TAGGGGAAACACTGATATTTATTGATGATGGAACTGATGATGGCAGCAGCAGAACAAATTCTGAAGCATACAGAAACATTTTGTCTGACAATTTACAGAGAAATGTATCCAAACCAATCGGGGGTAATTTTATCATGCAGCAGGACAATGACCCAAAGCACACTGCCAACAAATCAAAGGACTTCATCAATAACCAGACCAGAACCCAACAGAGCATTTCACTTCCTGAAGAGGAGACTGAAGAGAGAAACCCCCCCAAAACAAATGAGAACTGAAAGAAGCTGTGGTAAAAGCCTGGAACAGCATCACAAATGAAGAATGCAACAGTTTAGTGATGTTGATGAGTCATTTCAAGCAAGGTTTCTGCCACCAAATACTAAATATAATTTACTTTAAGATTATTAGTTCCATTACTTTTGCTCACCTAAAAATTCTGTGTTGTAGTACAAACACTGAAATATCCTAAGTTGTTTAACACATCTGCATGTAAATACCAGGAAATAAAAGCTGACATTCTGAACTCTTGTCTCATGCTCATCTTTTGATCTTAAACCCAAATGTCTTCAGTGTAAAAAACAAGAGAATTTGACTTGCTGTTCCAATACTTTTGGAGGGGATTGTATTTCCTTTGTGTCTTTCCTCTTGTACTGCATGATGTGAACAGTGTTTATTATTGACAACTGTCTGCACTGACAAGAAAGGGAAAACCTCACACACCAGCAGCAATGATCCAAGGATCCACTCCCACTTTGGAGTTCTCAGGCAAGACGCTGATCAGCCAATCCTCCTGAGATGGTGTTTCCTTCAGTCCTGTATGAGTATTGAATAAAACATCATGTAAGTGAAAGCTTGAAAAAATACAGATGTCACTTAAAATGTGAGTTTAATCTTCACCTATAACCAGGATTTCAGCATTAATTAAATTTTCTTATTCATCTTATAGTTTGCTTTGTATTGAGTCAGACATTGTTTTAGTGCCATTCAGTTCTTCTACATTAACTTTTCATTTCCTTTATAACAAACTTGTAGTCAGATTGATGACATCAAAACAAATCATCAAGCACTGCAGCATGGAGCCAACAGCTATGGAGCTTTAGTTTTTGGTTTTAAGTTTTAATCGGTTTGAACAAGAGTCATATCAGAGATTTGTAGCTCATTAACCATAACTCTTGTAATCATTTCTACAAAAGGTTAAATTATCCAACATGTGATTATCGTTTACATCACATTACAAAAACCCAGCTTCATTAACTAGATTCCAACCAAAACACCGATGAGGACATTACCCATCTTCATTAGAGACCAGTTGTTGTCCATCTGCTGGCTGGCCTGGAGGAAGTATCGACCATCAGTCCACATTGCAGCATGCTGCTCTGTGACAATGGCTGTACCTGAATAATAAAACAGAATGTTACACAGCTTATGCGTCAGTTGAGTTTATAAAGTTAAGTCAATTAAAAAAAATCTCCCTAGTTGGGAGAAGAAATGGTACATACATTAAGGTGTACATTTCATATAGTTAAATTGTCTGACTTGTTCCTACCTTTTTCTCTGTTCAGATTAGATTGTTTTTTATCCAATCCTGAACTTTAAAAGTATAAATGAATACTCATTTGTGTTAAACACAACATACCTGCAGATCCATTAAATCCACAAATAAATTCACGTCTGCAGTCACATGGTGCAATGTATTCACTCTGAAAGACCATGAAGAATAAGGCAGAGATTAGTTTGAATTACAGTCAGTGTGTGCACCACCTTTTATTTGTCTCATGTGTTTATGTTTAAGGGAAAAAACAGATTAGCAGCAGAAAAGGGGCAAAGATGAGGAACAGAACTGTAGATTTTGTTGGGAACAAGTACACTTGTTGTTGTAACCTGTGGGCATGACACGCAAGCAATTAAGCCCCATTTTTACTGAAGCGTTTGGACACAGTTTGGCTCAGCCGAATGCGTCTCCATTAGGTTCCAAGTGTGCTCAACCATGCACAGCCGCGCTGTTTCAGAACCTCCTTTCTGGTGGTTCTAAGCGGGTAGAAGCGAGTACAGCACACTTAAGTTTTGATGTCAGCACAATGCTGCCTGTGGATTAGCTCTGGGATTGATTGACAGAGGAAAGAAGTTACTTGTGCAAACTTCCTCCAGGAGAGAGACGCTTTTGTTTTGGAATACGAGCGCACGGCGCCATACAATGACAGGTTGAAAGCAGTGATAAAACCATCTAACCTTTCTGGTGATCAGCAGAACTAGTAAAAACTTCCTGGAGACAAAGCTGAGCAGATAACCAGGAGGTTTCGAACAAACACCGCCCACGGTTACACAAGCACTTATAAACAGCACCGTGACAAATCAATCAATCAATCAATCAATAAAAACCAACTGCTTTCTTTTTTACACAACAGTTGAAGCCGCTGCAGACGATCCGCCTCTAACCACACAGACTGAGGGACACACTGAAGTGGAGACGCACGCACACTGAGCAGAACCGACCTGGCCCAAACTGAATTGAGAAGAACCGAGTTCATGGAGAAGGGGCTTTATAGGGTGTATTCACACCATGAAAGTCCTTTGGTCTGCTTGTTTGGTCTGGACCAAAAGTGGACTTTATTTGTTTCCTTTGGTGAGGTTTGCATTCATATTGTGCTTTTCTGCAAACAAACTATAACTTGTAAACAAAGCCACAGGGTGACGATCATTGCTCTCACTGGACAGAAAGGACGGGCAGGACTGAGCGCACAGACCCAGAAAAAAAAAAACAGTCCTGCTTCTTCGGTTCTGATGTGCACATTTGTGCAGATAGTACAACTGCAATAGCATTTAAAATGTCAGAAGCAGCTAATTTAATGGTGGTTCCACAACCCAAAGGAGACGAGGTGCTCTGCGTGTTCTGACCCACTACATGCTGGCAGCAGAGCAGCTAAAGGCTGAGTCACACAACAAGATTTTAAACTGATAGAGCCCACACATGAGGATAAAAAATCATGGATATACCAGGTTTGGTCCTACAGTGTGTGGTGTACAGTCACACGGCAAGAGACAACACACCACACACCAAAAGATATTTCATTCATGAACATTCAGATTTTAAATCACTCGAGACTTCCTGAAATCTTGTGATAATTCAGATGTCCGAGGAAAAATCTCACGTGACCTCCAGAGACGTGAGTTCAGAGAAAATAAACATTTGCAACAAGGAAGAAACAATGTGGATCGTTTGTGGACTATTTTTACCAAAGGAAAAACAATTCCATAGGACTTTTAACATCCAGCCGACTTTCTGGTGAGTCATGACAGTTTTTGTTTACGTCATCTCGCTTTCTGATTGGCAGCACGTCTCATTCACAGGCTGGGAGCTCGGGTGAACACTACACACACTGTGATATCGGGCCAAAAAATCAAGCATGTTGAATATCTCCGATTTGAGGTCGGAGCGGTCCCGACGTTCTTCCGAGCCGATTAGATCACTCTTAACTCACCACCCACGGCGGGAATATCTGCTTGTTTATCTTTAGAGCCATCACGATAATCTGGACTTCCTTAAGATTGTTGGAAGGGCAAAAAATCGGCATGATTTTTTTGTAGTGTGACTCAGGCCTAAGCAGGAGACGACAAAACAGGTATGATTTCAGTTTATTTAGCTCAGCAACGGTGGCCTGTGAAGTCCAAAAAGGCGCATGTTTTATGTAGTTGATTCGGTTCGAGTCTGGTCTGTATTCACACCAGAGGCGAACTGAAGTGAACCGCACCAGAGTTCGTTTGGAAGCAGACCGAGCCCACCTCAAAAAGCGGGTCTCGGTCCAGTTATTTTATCCCCACCAGGGTTCGCATGAGTGTATTCACACCTGCACAAAAAGTCCGGACCAACGGGGCAAATGAACTCTGGTCCATTCAAAGCGAACCAAATGTGTCAGGTGTGAATACGACCATAGTCTCCATCACGATTAAAAAATCCAAAGTTAAAGATGCAGTTTAATATTTAAAGTCAAATTATACAGAATGTTTATACGCAAAGCAGACTTTAAAGTTGTGTAAAAGAAATGACCAACAGTGGGGTTAACTACAGTATGTAACCATGCAGGATGTGCATAGAGTGAGTATGAGTTTGACTTACCTGGTGTGCATCTCCTGATGGGACTATGTAGGCCTGTAAAGGCTCAGAGAAGTATTTACAATTCCTCATTGCCTGCCGAAGCAGTCGGAGCAACTCCCCTGTGATCTTTGGAGACATAGTGGAGTCTGCGTTGAAAAACATAAATACATATTTTAAGTAAAATGAAACCAAATGTAAAGTGCAACTAAACAAAACCACTGCAAGTTCACTTAAATATGAATTATTAAATTAAAAAGACACCACTGCTGGCATCTACTGTTAAAATTACAAAACAGTTACAGCATTTTACCTGACTTTTCTGAATCCATGTCAACTTCAGGTGAATGGAGCTAAACACTGACTGACTGAAGTCAACCTGACTTTACGTGGAGCTCAAAAGTCACAGCCCACACCCAATCTTTAACCTGCTATAATGTGTCAAATCAGCAACTACGACAGCAGATGGGTTAAACATTAAAATAAAAGGCAAAGACTTAGCATTCCTTGAAGCATGCAATGATATGTCACCAGTTTTGAAATAAGCTCATCTCATGCTAAGAAGAGAAATTTGTAAACAGAGTTGTAAAGTAACTAAGTACAAATACTTTGTTATTGTACTTAAGTAGAAATTTTGGTTATCTGTACTTTACTTGAGTAATTATTTTTCAGCGTACTTTTTACTATTACTCATTACATTTTTACACAATTATCTGTACTTTCTACTTACTACGTTAAAGGTAAGAAGTAGAAAGTCATTACTCCTATGTTATTCCAAGTTGTTATTACTTAAAAAAATACTATCCTGATAAA